TGGAAGTGCAAGTGGAATAAATCTAACTCGACGTCTTCGGAGAAGAAAAATGCAACCCGAGAGATGCCTAGAACCAGAAGGGAACATTAGCTTTCCAGACCCGCCGGTGCAAAATGCAGAGCAGCAATGTCTGTCGGGTCTCAAGCACGGACTGGCGTACTCCTAGCGACATGCAATGCCGTTTATCCTATGCCTGTACGGTGGGATTGTGGAGCCAGGTAGTCGGGATGCTCCTGGCAGGCCAGGTTGGCTGGTAGAGGTGCATGGGGTTTCACAAACGAACGGTTCCCGGGACTTTGCACGCGGGTGGGTTTCCCTCCCCCTGTGAGCGCGCACAGTTTGAAGAGGAAGCCAGGCAAAAGACACGGCGGCCTGACGAAGCCGTTCCTGAAAGAATCAGGAAATGGGTTAGAGCAGAGGCAGGAGCACGGAAATGGCTTAACTTGTGCCGTAAAGCTAATGGCAAGGAGCAGGCAGCGGTCCAGCACCGGCCTTTGCTCTCTGGGCTTTGGGGGAAGAAAACTTTGCTAATAACTGAAAGAGCTTCCAGGGCTCCACTGAATGAAGTGAGCGGAGAAATCCCCACTGACGGCCTTGGGAGTAAAAGCTGAGCCAGAACTGGATGCAGATGTGCTGGCATTCGACGCGGCGCCGACGAGGGGCTTTCCCGTTAAGAGATTTCCTAAGAAACCTCCGTGTTGTGCCGAACCGCCGCCAATTCTCCCGGCCCGGAGCGGCGCGGGGGCACTGTGCTCTGTGCAGCGCGCAGCCAGGCAGAGCGGTGGTGGGAGTTCGCCGTGTGCATCGCGTGCGGATAGTTTGATTGTGCTCGTCCAAACAGATTAATTGTTTACAGAAGCAAACGCAGGCCCTTGCTCGGGTTTGGCCCAGGAATGTAATCTGTAGGCACGTCTGCCTGATGGGACCACAGAATCGCCCACGAGTAGGAAAATGCGTTTCTCAAGGCTCTGGAAAATGCTTCGTGTTGCTGCATAAGTTGGCAAGGATCCTGTCGGGTCGTGGTGCAAAGGGTAAGACTTGCCGTAGCCTCTGGGGTGAACTCTTCAGTCCTCTGCAATTTTGCATTTATTTCTTTGTTTGGCTTGCACAGCTGCCGGGGGTGGGGGTGGCTGCTGCACGCTCGCCGGGGGAAGCTGGTGAGTCTGCCTGCTTGCTCTGGGTGCGCAGGACAGATGGACCCCCCGTCTTAGCCTGGAGGCAAGTAGGCGGCCTGGTAGATTGGCATCAACATACATGGGAGTGCAAGAGGGACGCTGTAGCTGCGATGACTTAGAAACTGGGTGAGAGGCAAGGGTTTCTGCAGTATTATCTTTGCACTGGTCCAGCCGCCTGGTCGGGGTAGAGTTGGGCAGGCTTTCAACTGCGAGGCGTTCTTCGTCAGGTCTGAGCAGAAGCAGCTAAGCGTAGCATAGCTGCCACCTATACACGTGTATATACGCTGTACACACGCACTTATATATACACACACACCCATGCACATATGTACCCACACATATACACATGCACACGCACACATATACACAGATACACACACATGTACACATATACCCCCCCACATGCACACACACACACACACACACACACTTTGCTTAATGTATAGGGTGCAAATCTGCTGTGCCTCCTCGTTATGCAGAGCAGGCAGCGCCAGGTCTCTGCGGCCGTGGCGGGACCTGGCAGGTCCAGGTCCGGCCGGGAGCTGGCCCCAGGAAGGTGGCTGTCGTCCAGCCAGGAGCTAGGGCGGGCCGGAGGGAGGAACCGGGAGAGCAGCTTGGCCTTTGCACCAGCTCCGTGCGGCTTTGTTAATCGAGCCAAGCGGCAAGAAGTTTCTTGCCTCCGCACAGCACGTAGCCTTCGTGCCAGAGCCGGGTGGGAAAGGTCACTTGCTTCCGAAGTCGAGCCATGTTCTCAAGGATGCAGAGACGAGGTTTCAGCCTCAGGCACAGTCTGCTTAGGAGCAAAGCCCCGCAGGCCGGCAGTCTCTGCACCCCTACCTTGCCGGCCGGGGCCACGGCACATGTAAGGGGAGAAGGCAGGGAGGCCTGGGTTCGTGTGCCCCCACCCCTGCATGTTCAGGGGACCAGACGGAGCCGTGCTCTGCTCACAAGCTCCCCACATCCCTGCTGGGTCCCTTGCAGTCGGGGTGCACCGTGCAGGGTGTGTGCGCAGTCGAGTGGGCCAAGCTCTGCACGCCCTCTTCACCCCTGTGCCAGTCATCTTTTCCTCCAGCTCAGTCGGGGAGCCGGCTGGCCCTGCTGTGCTTGTTCTTTCCTGATTGCAAAGTTGACAGTAAGCACCTTGCAAACACGCCCTGTTCTGGAGGTTTGATGGGTGGGACACGTGGCACGCCTGGAATTTTAATGCATCTTTAAAATGATCCTTGGTAGCAAAGGCAAGGCTTTTTTGGATGCGATCCATGGGGCTGCGTGCAGAGCTGGTCACAGGCTATTGCTGCATGCCGGGGTCCGCACAAATGCGGTGCTGTTAGTGGCAGGGAGGGGAAGAAGTGTGCTATTGTGCTTAAATCACATTTCCAGCACTTGAGAGGTGGGTTCAAATTCCTGCTCTGCCACATGTTTCCTGAATGACCTTGGGCAAGTCCCTGAGTCGCTGCGTCCTTCAGAGCCTGCCTCCAGCCCAGGGCTTTTGCAAGGATAAATACGGTGAGGGCTGGGAGGGACGGCAATACGGGGCCCTAGGGGGTCCCAAGATGAGGGGACGAGTTTAAAACAAACACCAGGAAGTCCTTTTTCACACTGCATGTCATGAAAGGGTGGAACTCATTGCCACCGGTTGTGCTGGATACTGAGTTTAGCTAGATTAAAAAGGGACTGGACACATGCCTGGAGGAAAGGGGCAGCGGTCGCTATGAGAGTGAGGGGCATGGCCTCCGAATCGGATCGTCAAGGCTGGAGGCTGCAGGTGAGAGAGGACCAAGGGAAAACCCCCTTCGTCCCCTGTTCATTCTCGCTTTCAGCTCCCTCTCTCTGCCGCCGTGTGACATGGCAAGATGGACCTGTGGTCCGGCCCAGTCCACGGCGCTTATAGTGCTTTACGTGGCAGGTGCCTGCAGGTCTTACTGGCGCTCGTCTAGACTAGTGCTCAAGCAGCAGCCCCGAAAGGGCTTGTATCCTTCGCTGGTTCATGAACCTTGCACGTGGGGTGCGCTGGGTTGCACGATGCTGGTCCCTGCTGGGATGATTTTCCCCAGATACTGGGAAATGCAGGTGCTTGGAGCACGAACGCCCAGAGCCTCAGGGAATCAGGGCCTGCTCCGTGGTCACCAGGACCGGCCTGACCCTGCCGAGAGCAGGGCCCCATCGGCGAGCTCGCTCGGGACTGCTCTACTCGTCGGACCGTCTCTCTTGTAGTTACTTACTCCAGACAAAGTGTGTTTGAACTTGGCAGGAGGTCAGTCCGGGAGGGTTAAGTAAGTAACCGTCAGCGGGACGGTTTGCCTGAAAATGGAGTCGCGGCCAGGAGGAATCTGCTGGCTGCAACAACAGCTGTCTCCTGGCACGCTGGTCTCCGTCCTGCGGTCACAGCATTTCCTCTGTCAGTTTGTCGAGGCTGTTTGCAAGGGTCACTCTACGTGAATAACTCGATTGTTCCCACTGATGAAATGGCACTGAAAGGAGAAGTCGGAGCTGATGCGCTGTGGTCTGAAACTAAAATAAAGAAAAAGAAGGGAAAAGAGAGGAAATAAGACGAGCAGACCATCGCCATCCAAGGGAAAGCTGCAGCTGGCATCCGGGAGCTGGCGGCGGGAGGGTTAACAGCCTCAGACTTTAATTTTATGTCAAGATATTTTTTTCCCCGTGTGATTAAAACCTGGGGTACTGTTGCATATTCATGAGGCCTGATTTAAAATGACCATTATTTCTGCTCCTCGTAATTTGTGAATAATGTGCTGTGCCTAGATACAGTTTTTTAACTACTTAATAATACGAGAGTAATGACCTTGTATCACACTTCAGTGATTCAAGGCTCTTAATCTGTTGCTATATTCAAATATTGTGAAATATGTTACTCAGGGCTGCCTGAGCTGGAGTAAAAATAGAGGCCTTATCAAAGGGAAGGAGAAACATAGGCTTGGTTTTGCATACAGGAGCGTGGGCTAAGCCGGAGAGCTGTGCCCGGCAGCGTCAGGAGCCGAAAGGGAGAGGTGATGCGGGCTGCACGGGGCTGCTGGAACCTGCCGCGGCTGCTTTGGTACCAACCGCGTGGGCAACTGCACAGCCCCTGTCCTCGAGTCGGGGGGACAGTTGGGTGAGCGGCAGTAGGACGCGTGTCTCTGAACCCCGGGCTGCTGGTGTGTGCCTTTCCCCGGTTACCGAGCCCATTGCATGGCACTGTCTTACACGCTCAGCACAGCTTGAGGTGAGCATGGTGGCTATGGGCCCAGCATCCTCTCCTCTTCATTTCCCTGGCTCCACCACTCCCTTCCCAGCCCTTTGGCTGCAGTTGTGATGTCTAGTGTGCAAGCTTGTGGGCAGGAGGGCAGGAGGCCTCCTATGCTTTGCCGTGAGTCTCGGCGCTTCACCCCGAGCAGCATCTGGGATTGCTTTGCACTCTGCTCTTCCCCTTTGTTTTCTTTCCTTCCCTGCTTCAGCAGAGCTGGAGCCGGCCTTCGCTCTCCCAAAGCAGCAGGCGCACACGACCTCGGCGTGTCCTTCCCCAGCCGGAGCCAACGCACAGCAGGCCCACCCCGGGACTGCCCCGCCAGCCAGCATAGCTCTCTTTCCTGTCCTCCCCTTCTGCTCTCCTGCCCTGCCGAGAGCAACGGGTCGCCGTTCCTTTTGCAAGCCTGCTCCCCAGCTGAGCCAGAGCTAATTCCCCTCTTTAGCACGGGGTGATAGATGTGCTTTCCAGTCGTGCGCTGCCAAACAATACGGCCGCCTCGATGCTCCGGGGTAGCAGGGTGTCGGCGAAGCCTGCTGTCGAGCGTAGCAGGGATGTAAGTACGGGGTGGATTTGCTTTGCAGCAGCCCTTCCGGACTTGGGGACGCTCAGCTGGTGACCTCTCCTGTCCCGCGGAGGAAAACAGATGGAAACTTTTTATATAGCCAAGGCACACGGGGAAGTGGGCAAAAGAAAGCTTTGATTTCCTCGTGGCCTCACACAGAGAAAGGCGACACTGAGAAATGAGTGTGTGTGTCTGGGGCACGCGTATGCACACATGTACACATTTCTATAGGGGGTGTGCGCGTGTCAGGAGGGCAGTAATTCATCCGGATTAAGTCACTTCCTTCACACATGCATAGTGTACTAAAAATATCATATGCTTTACTAACACCCTTTGTTCCAGGACCCCCTGGAAGCACGTTTAAAGCACATCTAACGAACTGAATTAATTACTTTGGGGTGTTTTTTTTTCCCAAATGCCAAATTAAAAAGAGTTTTTGATATGAAATAATGTAAAAACAATGTAATGTCTGGTATTACAAGGATGACTATGGATTTGAAAGTGTTTTCAAGGGTCCTTTCAAACTCCCCTCTTCTAATAGGACACATTTTCTTTTCTTAAAAAAAAATGCTACTTAAACTGCACAAGCAGAAGCATAAACCGGTGAAATGCAGCCACCTCTGGGGTGCAACATATGAAAGCGTTGTTTTCAGCAGAGCGCTGAAGAGTTTGCTGAATCCCCATTGACTTCTATGGGATTGAAGCATGTGCTTAGCCGGGGTCGTGCTGCTTCCTGACAGCGGGTCTTGAGCACATAGCGAACGATTTAATAATAATAGTGAAATAAAACCTGCTACGGATCTTGCCCTGCTCGGTCTGGCATTTGCAATTTGGCATTTCCTCTATCACTGCCTTCGGTGCTTTGGCAGCTCAGCCCAGCCACTGGTTTCCTAGTTTAACTAGTCTCTCTCATGTGGTACTGATTAAGTCATAAAAGTTAATTATTAATGGCTAAACCATTCCCCCTGAATTTAAACCTTCCAGTGTGTCCTGTTGTATTTTAACTCAGATTATGTTTGCCCTGCAGCCAGGGATGATAAATGTAACTATAGAAACTACGGTGGGCAACTACACGGGAAGGTTGTTCCTCTCAGACCCATATTTTTCTCTGCATAATAAAAGCCTGAGCATGCAGAAGAGAGGTGATTATACAGGGGTGCGGGGAACGTCAGGCTTTCTCCTTTGTCCACCACAGGCTTTAAAACTGGAAGTTAAAATGTCAGGGAGAAATATTCCTGGGTAAGGTAATGGGGAAGGAGAGGCCGGCTCCAGCCCGTATAGATGGGTGTGCGCCGAGTGCAGCGTGCCTCATAAAAATATCAACTCTGCATGTATGGGCGTAGGCGTCTCTGAATTGGCAGATAAGCAGGGAAATGGAGGTCTGCATTTCATGCCGGGTTCAAAGCCAGTTTTGGAGCCGGACCAGGAAACCCTCGTGCTCCCACCGCCCCGCTGAGCTCGGTGCAACATGCTGCGCGTGTGAAGCCTGCAAAATGGGGAGAGGCTGGATGAGGGCGTAGCTCGCGTCGGGCACCTAACCTTTACAGTGGACTTTCGGCTATTTATACCCTTATGACGGCGCGTGGCAATGATTGGTTTGTGCAACCCATGGCCCTTGTTATGTCGGTGGTTACCTTTTCCCTTGCTGGAGGCAGGGTGGTGTCCCCTGCGCGTGGTCGGTGGGCTGTGCTAGTCACGCCGCCTGTGCATTGGTTTGGGAGCTGGGCACAGGTTGCTCTACTCTGCCTCCGACACCCATTTTGCAACAGAAGCTGAAGGCGATTCCACCCCTTGGGCAGCGAACCACGTTGACACAAGTCTTGTGGGTCTCGGTGGTCAGCCACGGATGCCGGCGTGGAGAGAGGATGGGCAAAACCCGCGTGCAAAAGGTAAGGGTGGTTCGGCTGCAGCTGGCTCGTGCTCGCCCAGGATGTTTCAGGACCGTACCTGATTCGGTGCCGGGAGAGGAGCCTGGCGGGGCGGGTAGGATGTGCCTTCTGCGAAGAACAAGTTTCTACCCCTTCTTTACGCAGGAGATTGGGTGTGGAGGCTGCTGATAGGGACAGCAATAGAATAGCAACTTGCTGGAAAATAAAGTAATAGCAGAGTTGGGTGTTTTCTCCACTGTGCGCACGCATCTGCAGCTGAGCGGTAGGTACGGACTAGGTAACCACGCGTTGCAGCGGGCAGATGAGCGGCGCGTACCTGCTCTCGTGCGCGTGCACTTCCCAGGCGGAGAGAGGAGGTAACGCAGCCTCCGCAGTTTAGGAAAGTGGGTCCCGAGCGCCCCTTCTGAAGCGGCGCGGCCATCCCGTGCTGATCCGCAAGCTCAGGTTTAAGCAGAGCTGCCACGCCAAGAGCATCTTGAGGAGCTTGGGCAGTTTGCTCCGATAAGGGATTATTTTTATTCCGTCTCCTGACTCCACTTGTGTTTATGACGAAGGGTTTTGGTAGAGGAAAGTCCCAGCTTCTGTGCCAAGCTGTCTGGGTGGCAGCGTAAGGTCCAGTCCTGCATAACGCTGGATGCCTGGAAATGGGAACGACAGGGGGCAAAGCCTCTCCACCCCGCGTGGGGTCAGGCCCATCATTTGGTCTGCGGGTCTCAGTAGATCCTAGGCTGCACATAACATGCCAAAAGGCCTCAGAGGTAGCTAGATATTAGATAGATGGATAGATATTAGAGAGAGGTGTGTGTGTAAATGTCTGTCTGTCTGCATTTATCTATCTATCTGCATGTATCTATCTCTGTGTGGATATCTATCTATCGATCGATCGATCGATAGAGGAGAACTTTGGCCGTAAGATGGGGACGATGTGGAAGATAATTATGCATAATGGCAAAGCTAAAGCACTAAGTGTAAATTTTAACTAAATGCCCTTTCTGATTTGGTTTTCTGTCATGTTGAATGTCCTTGGCTCCGTTCATTTTCCTCTTTAGAAGCAGATGAGTAAAGGTTAACTTGTTTCTGAGAAGCAGCTTTGAAGGGTGGACCACAGCATTCGTTTTCCGTGTGCCCTGGAGAGGAGATAGCAATGCAGACCCCAGCGAGAAGGTGTGGGGCGCTGGAGTGGGAAGAGGGGAGCCTTGTTAATCCATTAGACGGAGGGTAATTTTGGGGTGGAAAAGGATAGCAAAAGCTGTGCTTGCTATGCCGGTTTTCTGTTGGTGGTGACAAGGGTCAGGGTGAAATCAATGTCCAACGTAAAGTCCGCTCTGGTCAGGCGCGGAGTCCCCAGAGCCATCATCGAAGTTGTGACGCGGGCCGTAGTCGCAGAGAGAGGAGGGCAGGAGAGGCTCTGGGGCAGTCTGCCGGAGGCAGCACTTACTAACGACAAAGCCACGAATGAAACTCCCACTTGCAAAAGATTTTTTTTGCGGTGCCAATGTTTTTCTGTCCCTCAGATCGCGCTCTTTTAAATATAGCGCAGCGTTTCCTTCGAGTGCTGCCTTTGTTATCCGGCTCTGCTAGTGCCAGCTGGCTGCAGATCCGCTGGAAGCTGAGGCGAGCTGATAAGCGAGGTGTTTGGGTACTCACGCTGAAATGACCCCTGTCACTTACCGGGTACCGCGTGGCACCGCCTGCCCACGCTGTGGAGATGTGGCTAGAAAGCCTGTGGATTAAACCCCACCAGCCTGCAGCAGGCGGGCACAGATCGGGAACGTGGGATGTGTGTGTGCGAGCGCGCTGTTGCACGCTCTTCGCAGTCTTCCCTTTGTCATGCAAACTTGAAAAGACTTGTCTGGGATCTCTTGTGACTGTCATGTGTACAAGTGCCCCAAGTGATGGCATGAAGTCTGGCCACAATAACCCGTCCTGCCCGACCCGACAAGCTGTTGGCATTAAAGAAAGAGCCATAACTGCGCGCAGGCCCTCGGGGAATGATGCCAAACGCCTCTAGCGCCTTAGCTAACATTTGCACGAAGTCAGCAGGCAGAAGGGCTCTCGAGGCAGTTCGCCTCTTAAAGCTCACCCAACGTGTTCTGCAAATGCCCCCACTTTTAATGGGAATTTCTGCAGGGGGCTAAGCTGAAGAGCCCCTCATGGCTTAGGAGCAGTGGCCTGGCCATCACGGGGACGTTGGCATGGGTTTTGCAGGTGCAGGGAAAAAGCAGAGACTCTCTAGGAAATTAGGAGCGCTGCATGTTGGCATGGCTGTTCCCGTTGAAGGCTCCCTCCTCCTCTTCCTCCGTCCCAACCCAATGCTCCTGAGGCTGGTTCGGAAACCTCAGGAGGAAGTGTACCAGCCTGGACAGTACAGTTCGGTCAAAATTTAAGTGAAGCAGCCGGCCCGTGACTAGTGTTGGGCTCCCCTTTGCACGGCGGGAATAGCAGCCGCATGCCGCGGGCGAGTTGAACGGCAGCACGCTCCTGAGCCCGGGGGTCCCCCAGGCACCGCTCCTCGAGAGATGCTGCAAATACCCATTTACAAGGAGCTCTTCAAAGCGCTTTGCGGCCCGGAGCCTGTTCCCTGCGGCGAGGTGGGAGCACACCTGCTTCCTCTCGAGGGGCGGAGGGGGCTCTCGGTTAGGGCTGCACCTGCCGGAGGCTGTGATTTCACTGAAGAGCCCTCCTCGCACCTGCCAGGAGCAGCCCACGAGGCAATGCCCGTTGTCAAAGCTCCCCCCTGCCTATCCCAGGAGCTCCAGGACCCGAGACTGGGTTATTTCCATCTCTCACCAGCCTCTCTGAGCGGCTCATCCAGGCTGGCTGGGGACAGGTGGAGTTTTCCTGGTGGTGAGACCTGCAAGGGCTGAGGTAGGCGGCGATGTGCCGGTGCCCTAAGTTCAGAGAGGAGTTGGCATCTCACGCCTATAGCAATAAGAGCCGCCCTGCTTATTTCACCCCTTGTGGGAAGGAGCCCCCAGGACGTTGGGGTACCCCAAAACTCTGCAGCATGGACACTTCCATACCTCCTTCCCATCTGCTAATGTCTAAGGACAAGCCCGAGCTGAGATCCTCCCCACGGCAGCTCTTGTCCCTGTTTTGTCTTTTTGTGAACATGAAATGAGCTGCTACCAGCTAAGGAGCTGGTCCTGCCATGCGCGGAGCTTGTGCTGTAGCCAGGGAGAGCCCGTGTCTTGGCTTGGTTTGCAGTTGTAGGACCAAAAGGACCCGAGAAACGGGTCCCTGATGGCGCACGGGAGCATCCCACTGGTACAACAGTTGGCGATGCCCCAACCCCGAAGCTGTGGAGGTCCGGGCACGGATCTTGACTTTCTCCCTCTTTCCCAGTCCCTGTGTCAGCGCTGCTGATGCCTCTCTTGGCTTCTTCAAGTGCTTTGCTTGCCTGCGACGGCTTCACGGTCATGTCTTACCAAAGTGGGGACCGTCCTGTCTCCATCATTCGAGTGAGTCTCCGTGAGTGTCCGTACAGGGGCGTCCATGGGGCTGGGACGTAACGGGCACAGCCGTGGAGACGGTCTTCTCCTTTCCACGTCTCTGTGAGACCTCAGGCCGCCCTCCCCTCTCCAAAGTGCCCTGGGGTCTGGGCCCAAGGTATCGGCCTCTCTACTTCCATGTCCCTCTTCCTTTCAGCCCAGTGCAAGAAGGTTGTGAGCGGCCCGTAGGCTTCGTTTGCCTCCTCGGTCACAAGCTTTAGAGGACTAACGAATCCCCAGCCAGTGCCGTGATTTGGCATGGGAGCAAAGCCATGCAAAACGCAGCCCGTGCATGCCTGAATCCAAAGTTACCTGGCCAGGGCCCTTCCTTCAGTCACTCCTTTCACTATAGCAACCTCCCTTGTATTTGTGCTCTTGCTCTCCCTAGCACACAAGCCCGGGGCCTTGGCAGTAGGCGCTGGGTGAAGAGGTAGGGAGGTGGAAGCGAAGACAACCTCAGCCTGAGTCACCGATGAAGGATTAGCTGGAGCCGGTCTCCAGGGCGGTGGAGGCGGAAAGCATTCAGAGCCATAGCCGGTGCTGGCTGGCCGGACCACGATGCTGAGCTTGAAGTTGCCAAGGCTGCTCAACATTAATCAAGTGCCCAAAGTAAGTGTGGCTTTGCTTCGTGGGTCTCTCTTGTGTTTGGCTGCCGCTGCGTCGGGACGTAGCAGCCTCTTACAGCCCGGTGCCGCTTTTCTTTCTCAATCATCACTTCGGAGCATTTAAATCGGAGCTGGAATATTAAATATTTGGGTTAGACTCTGCGTCCAAACCTAGCAGTCCTCATCCCGTGCAAGAAAAGACCCTTTTTTTCAGAAATTCTTGAAATATTGAAGTTACTTTGCTGTGTTTGAAGTGGGTTTTGCGTGTGCATGTTTAGTGTGTGTATCTATTGATATATATATACACATATGTGTGTAAATATAATCTATCTAGAGATAGTTAAGACATTAGATATCAGATAAATTATATTTACACACACACACACACACACACATATATCTATCTAATATATGTGTGTGTAAATATTTCTATCTAGAGATAGCTAGATAGATTATATTTACACACATAGCTAATATCCATCTATCTAATATATCTGCGTGTATATATCTGTGTGTATAAATATATCCCTCTATCTGGAGATAGCTAGATATTATATAGATTGATGGATAGATATTAGCTATATATATGCATATACACACACACATACTCCTATATAAACATATAAAAATCACTTCAAGCAAAGCAAAGTAAATTCAATATTTCAAGAATTTCTGCAAAAAAGAGGGTCTTTTTTTGAGTGGGATGAGGTTTGCTTGTTTAGGATGCAGGCTTTAGCCCAAATATTTAATACTGCAGTTCAGGTGTGTATATACACATGTGTATGTACACACACACACACACCCAACTTTATATATACACTTGTTGCTTATGGGAAAAATGATTAACGTGATCAGAGAACTTTCATCCACCAAAAAGCGGGTTGTGGTGAATATGATTTTGACTGTCATTCACAATATCTTTAAAAACAGGTTTAAACGCAAGAAATCTGTGTTGTGAAAAAGGGAAAATGTTGAGCATGTGGCATAATATTGTGTTACTGCAGAAAGGCCACTGGGGTTGGGAAAGAAAACAAACCCCAAACCAGCCAGCCCTCTTGCATCAACAGACATTGCCCCACTCTGCGAAGAAGATTGGCCTCATGTTCCAAAAAATGCAGACCGAGGCCAGCCGAAACCTCTACCGAGAAATGAAGCGTGCTGGTTGGTTGTTTTTTTTAAAGTTAATATTTAGCTTCTATGGGAGGGCAAAAGCAGCAGGTCAATTGGAGCGCTCCTGTGTGTGCATGTTGGGGTATCCCATGCCCTTTGCTGTGGGATCTACATGCCAGGTGAGCAGTTAGTGTGATCAGGACAAGACTATCAAAGCTGGTGCATGCAGTTAGGATGCTTTGCCCTTGCTAAGGCACTTTGACCTGGCCTGATTTTGCAGAGCAGTTGAGTCCATTGAGGACTCTGAGCTGTTTGGAAAATCTCTCTCTATATCTCTCTATCTCTCTCTGTTTGGAAAATCAGGCCTAGGATATCTATGTGAGGTCTCAGGACGGTGCATCGTGCAAAGCTGGGGTGTGCCGGGCTGTTCTGATCCTGCCAGCATGGGCACGGGCGTAGCAATGGGCTGCCCTCCACGCTGCTCTGAGCAGACAGATCTGCTGCAAACCCTGCGTGCCTGCAGGATCAGGCACTGCGTTGGGGGTTGGTCCATGCCAGTGGGACCAACTTTTTTGGCAGGTGCACCACAAATTAGCCCTACCCCCTACCTGAGTGCCACTCTGATCCTCTCCCCCTGTCCCGCCTGCTGCTCTGCATTCTGTGCTCCCAGCCTGGCCTGCTGCTCTGCTTGCTGCTTCTTGCCCTGTGCTCCCTGCTCCACCTGCTGCTCTGCTTTCCCTTTCTGACCCATGTGCCCCTGTGCTGCCTGTCCCCTCCCTGATCTGCCACGTGCCACACACATGAGCTGCCCGTACCACTTATGACACCCTTGGTCTATCTGTGCATCCCAAGGAGCATGTGCACCCCATCCATCCAATCCACGGATATGCTCCACGCCTGGATGGCTGCCGGTGGGGACCTGGGCACCCCAGGCCGCAGTGGGGTCCAGTCCAGAGCTGCTCACTAACAGCTGAAACTTGTCAGCAGACTGGGGGAAAGTGGGATGTGGATGGGGCACACTCAGACCTGTCCTCCTGGAGACTTAGGACTCCCCTGGGTGCTTCAGGCTCCTGCCCTGTGATTGTTCCTTACCTGGGTAGGTAAGGAGGGGAATGTGCCATTTTTGTCCACCTACTAGCTAGCTTAGCCCACACATTCGTGGTGGCGAGCACCCAGAACAAAAGGCAATTCCCGCTATTCTGCGTCGCAGCTCAAAGCAGCGCCCCTCTTCCAGGCAGCTCCTGAACAGGGGTATCGATGCAGGGCCGGCATCCGAACACAGCTCCCGTGGTGCAGGGTGAACAGCACAGAGCCCGTCTAAATGAGAGGCTTCTGCTCATTCCCTTCCAGGTGTTTCGCGAGCAGGGCATCGTGTTCGGGTACCGCCATCCCAGAAGCTCAGCCGCAGATTGTCTCCTCAGTGTCTTCCAAATGACAAATGAAACCCTAAATATCTGGACTCATTTTGTGCCTGCCTGGTATTTACCCTGCTTTCTCTCGGATGCTGCCTTTCGAGATGCTCTTACAAGCCCTCCTCCGGCCGTGGGAGTCGGCGATGGGTTGATAACCCATCGGGGTGGGAGGCGGCAGGGGAAGGGGACGCTGGCACCAGGGCGAGTCGCGAGCGGTGCTCACGGCTTCGAGCAAAACAGTGCCCGAGAGCCCAGACAGCAGTAACCCACGTCTAGGCTCGTCGGGCAAAATGAGAAGTCGAAATCCTGGCCCCACCGAAATCGAGACGAGTAGGTTGTTGCCTTTGGTGGAGCCAAGATTTCCCCATAACAAGCAGGGTCTCACTGGAGCCTTTGTCTTCCAGCTACTTCCTAGGGAAGCTGCTTGCCTTGTTATATGCGCTGGATCTCTGCAACGACGTGTACGCTTGGCCCCTTCTTGCCTACATGAGCACCTGCTGCATTTACCCCTTCATGTCCAGCTGTGCCCACACGTTCAGTACGATGTCCACCCAGGCCAGACACATCTGTTACTTCTTTGATTACGGCAGCCTCAGCATCTACAGCCTGGGTAAGAGCCGCTGCAAACGCTGCGCAGAATAACCGGTGGGGTTTTCCAAACTGCCTAGGACTTTGGAGTTGAACTCCCATCTCGTTAAGGGTGTATCTCAGTGGGGCTAATGAGGCCAGGTGGAGTGCTGCCCAGACGGGGCTCCTCTGCTAGTGCAATCATAGATCGCTGGTGTGGCATTGCATGGACGTATCCTGAAAGCTGATGGCATTTAGGTTCCTGAAAGTGGGTCTGAAGTTCCTAAGTCACTTCGGCCCGTTTGTACGTTTTGCATTGCTGAATGCAAGGGGGAAAGGCTCTCGCACCACTTTGTGGACTAAGGAGCTGGAGGAACCGAGGAAAGGGATCTCCTGACAGCTCTCCGTGCGCGGGAGCTTGTGACAGAGAAGCCGTCTCCACCCCAGCTGCACAGTGCACGTGGTTGTCTGGGCTTTGTGAATCACCAGGGTTGTTTCCTTTCTTTAATCCAGCCTTCAGAGGTGGAGGCATGCCAGCCCTCGACGCCGGCACCGCAGTTGGGTGAAGTCTGCATTTGTCTTTAAACTGCAGAATAGCAGCACTTTGCACGTTAGCTCAGCACAGACCCAGACAGACACTCAAACACCTTCCCCATCCCCATCCCCATCCCCGCGGACGTACACAACTCGCCCAGCTGTCACCGCCTGGGAAAAGACCCGTTCTTGGGACTTCTGCTGCCCTCTGCAGACCTTCACACATGGCTTCGATCTGTTCACGCTGGGTCCCGTCGTCCACTGCGCTATCCTTGAAGGACGGCACTGGCTTTTTTTCACAAGCACGTGCTGTGCATGAATCGGAGAGAGAAGAGGCCGGCGTGGTAGCTTGCTACTGCTACAGCTTTACAGACACGGTTTATCTGAATGCTGAGTCCAGGAGACCTGCGTGAGCATCGTTCCGGTGTTTTAACGATGCAAACACAGGCCCTGGATCTTATCGCTCTTGATTGTTCCTGTGCATTTGCAGGCAGTGGATTTGTCACGGTTTGGAGTGGCCTTTGGCTTATAAACCATATCTGTCACTGATGCTTTTATTGCTGATTCCTAGCACAAAAGGAAGAAGCCCTGGATCCAAACAGCCCCAAATCTCCATGCCCCCCCCACCGCCAAAAAGAAAAAATAAGTGAGAGACGTTCTCCCCCAGGCTGAAACACCAATTCGGCACACGTCGCTAGCGTAGCCACCCTCCCGGGAATTCGCAGATAATGCTTATCAGGGCTCGGTCACACGCGGGGTTGCTGAAAGGACCTTGCCCGGAGTCGGTTTAATCTCAGCGATGCGTCTCGTGTAAGGATGGAGGGGGAGCTGCTGTCCTGCTTGCAAATCGGATGCATCCTGGGGTGAAGTTGGTGCCGCCGGGTTTCTTTACTGCACGTGTAAAAGAATGGGCCCAGTGGGGTTCAGTCCTCCTCTCTGTGTCTGGGCATCCTGTTGGCAATTACCCGGGTGGTAGTTACTCCTGGCACTTAATAAAATAATTTGGGCATAAACCTGGATGAAATGAAATGAAAGAAAGTGCATGGACGCACCATGACACACGAACACCAGAGACGCTAGAAGCATTTCCCCTGCAACTAAAAACGCCCATTTTACAGCCTGATCTGGCAGTCCTGATATAGCAAGTCGCTGGAGGGAGACACTGGAGTCAGGGCTGACCCCTGAGTTTTTTTCAGTTTAAAAGGGGAAAAAAAAATGAAAGGGGCAGGCTGAAACAGCTGAAGTTTTATAAACTTAGTGGCCTTCTGCTGGCATAAAACCCCATGTACGTCGCAGCAAAACCAGCCCCAGAGCTGCACACCCTGTCTTGATGTCTTTGGAAAAGAAAACATTTATCGGTGGATATACATTTTTACCAGCTGCCCAAATTTCTCCCCTCTGACAAAGCAGCTTCTGATCTCCAGTGGATGAGGAGGTAACCTGGCTTCTTAAGACTGGCCTTTAAGGTCCCGGGTTGCTGCCTGGTCCGTGGGCGCTTGTCCGCGATCTGTGGACAGCACTCGTGCGCGGGGCAGAGCTGGGTGGGAACCGTCCACCTTCGTGCTCCTTGCAGTATTTTTTGCCGCTGAATCTTCGGGCTTGTTTGAAAGTCAGAGACCTAAACCACTGTAGAAAAAAGGTTACTGAATAATACATCGATAATATTCAGAACTGATCCGGGTGTTGTTTTTATTTTCAGGTTCTGCGGTTGCTTATTCAGCATACGTTTTCCCAGAGGAATGGGTCGACGGCACTTTCCATCGCTGTTACGTACCCACTGCTGTGTTCAACGCGGTTCTTAGCACCGGTCTCTCCTGCTATTCCAGGTACTGCTATGTGACACTGTGATGGCCAAAGCATGTTCATTTAAACACACAGCCTTGGAATATGTTGCATCGCTAAATGCCGTGAACTGGAGAGTGGATAGATGGGGCATTTACTGTTATTACCATGTTGCGCGCTGGCACTAGAATCGTTTTCCAAAATGCCTGTGAAAAGACTTCATTGGTGAAGCTTTAGACTTGTTGAAAGAGAGTTTCATATCTTGCTGTCTCCAGCAGGAAGAGGTCTGCCTATAGTAACTTGTTTTTCTTTAATTACAGCATGTCTGAGATGAAATGTGTGCTCCAAGTGCTTAAGCATATGCTTAATTTTAAGCGTCTGAATTGTCCCATCAAAATCCATGGGACTGCTCATGTGCACCATGCTAAGGATGTGTGTAAGGTTTTGCAGGTGTGTGGCCTTCAAGTTCGTACATCTAATTGACTCCTTTTTAAAGAATAATGAATAGGACATGTGTGTCTGCTGTGAGAAGATACCTAAAGGCGAGCCTCCCTGAGTATCCTCCTTGTTTCTAAACCCCAAGCATCCTGGCAAGGGATTTCTTAGGAAATTTTGGGGGGAGTAGGACATTTTGACTTGGGCAACTTTTCTCAAAGCTTGCTAAGTACTTAGCTAGCTTCTGGTATGAATAACTGACCACATCTCAAGCCAGATATTACTCATTTTACTTCATAGTGGAAATTTTCTTGGAAGCTTTTTTGTGACATGCTGCTAGTTCCCTTTATGATCATGTAGTTTGCACGTGATAGCTGATTTCTGAGCTGTGAATTGCTTGGTGTAATTAGCCTGTTTTGTGCATTCGCGGGCTATGAGTAAAATGTTGCTCGTTAGCATGCGTGTGTCCGGTACAAGATGCACAAAAGTCACCCGTGGCGGTTTCTGGTTAAAGACGTTTTGCTGGTCGGCTTCACTGCCCGGGGTTTGGCGCTGGACCAGTGCTGTTGTTGGTACCTAAATGAATACGAGGACGCTGTAGTCTCCGAACAGGGAGAGGTACATTGCAAAAGGCAAAGCATCGAAATAAAAAGGATGGAGGTAGCAGGGAGCAACCTGATAGCTCAGCACTGCAAGGTATCCCCAAAACCTGTATTGGCCGTTTGGTGGGAGTATTACAGGATTCAGACCAACTCATCAGCATTTGGGAAAGCAGCTTGGACCTTTCATTGTTAATGCTAATGACAAGTGTTACATGTTGTAGCAGAATTAGGAATAGATGTGTTTAGACTATCTTGCTAATCTTTCCCTCCCTTTTTTTCCCCCTGTATATAGTCTCCATTTATTTTTCCCCCTTTTTTTCTACTAGTTTCCCCTCTTCCTTTGTGTTCTGTCTGACTTGTATTACTGTCTGGCGAGGTGGTTTTGCTGAGGACAGGTGACAGCGGTTTAATTTGTTTCGGGTTACAACGGTTGCGGCATTTCAGTGAAATGGGATCGCCCAAGATTAGGGCTTTTTTAAAAAAAAACTCCAAACCCCAACAACAAAATCAACCCCTCGATTTTGTTTTAAATTCTTTTAGACATGAAAAGCAAAGTGCAACATCTCTGTGTTGCAAAACAGTAAGTATAATGACCCAAGAAATGCTTAACCGTTACCAGAAGACGGTAGAGCTCTAGTTCTGGTTGCCTCAGTCGTTGTGCGTTTATCGTGCCTCTTTCAACGGTCACTTGTTTAAGTACCCAGGAGAAGCTTCCTAAGTACCCCAAAATGTCATTCCCCCATGTGAGCAAGTACCCAGGAGAAGCTTCCTAAGTACCCCAAAATGTCATTCCCCCATGTGAGCAAGTACCCAGGAGAAGCTTCCTAAGTACCCCAAAATGTCATTCCCCCATGTGAGCAAGTGGGGAATGAGACCCATTGATTTTGAACAACAAATGATGGGGGATGGACCTGATGACCTCACGAGGTCCCTTCCAGCCCTAAACTTCTGTGAATCTGGGATACTTTTGCTGATGGGTCGTAGCATAGCTAGTGAGGTGAATCAGTCCTATATGCCAATGTGGAGGGACTGCCCTGATCTCCCCTCCTCCTGCTTCGTTTTGGAAGCCTGGTCCTACGGAAACGCTGCATTGCCCCACGACCAGCAGTGCAACACGGCCCACAAACATCAGCATTGGTAACTTCTCCGTCCCTTGCACTAATAAACGTGCAATAGACTCTCAGAACGACTCTCTAACCACAGGCTTTTGTGTTTTTCCCCGACTGTATTCACGGTAAGTGGCTTCCCCATCGGAGCATCTGTGACGACTTGCAAGCTGAGTTGCCGAGTGAACTGCAGTGGCACAGAAATGCAACTTCTGCTGTGCCAGGAGGTCTCTGTTAGCAATAAGGCTCTTCTCCAGTCTCTCTCTTTTTTTTTTTTCTCTCTCTCTCCTTTCTTTTTTTTCTTTTAGGTTCTGGCCTGCAGCTGCCAAGGACGAACAATGCCACCCTCTGGCACTGACTCCCTTTCCCCGGGGGGCTTGATGCTCAGTGTGGTTGACTAGGAGTACACACAGTTCATAAAATCCATAGTTTTGCGAATGTCTCTCCACCAGTGTCCTCTTCTTTGTCTGTGTGAGTGGCCAGTCTCTGCTGCATCCTGCAAAGGGGACCTGAGCCACGCAAGGGGCAAAAGGCTCCAACAGGAAAGGTTGGATTGAAAAGAGGAAGCGTCCTGGGTCGAGATTGTGCAATGCAGTGCAGTGTTGAGCCATGTCTCACCGGGAATACAAAGTGCTTGGCAGATTGCAAAAGGGTCCATGCTCGACGGCAGCTGCAAACTTCATCTGACTTTATGCAGCAGAAAATGTCGCGGTAATCTTAACTGTGTTGCTATAAAAGCATCGTTATAGCGGGGAGACCAGGTGTTGCAGCCTCTCCTCCAAGTGAATAGGGGTTATAGCATGGCAAAATTGGGTCCAAAGTCGTTGTCTTCATTGCGTCTCCGATCCAACCTTTCTATATGGTCTGTTCCCAATATTCTGCAGAGGTCACTGCTTCTGTTGTCGGTGTTGCCAGAGGGTTGCGTTGTGGTACTATACAGCATCCAAAGCGTGTAGGAGACAATGTTGGACTCAGTGCAGCTTATCCTGTTGGTGCAGCCGTCCCTAAATCTGTCTTTCATTTTGCTTTAAATGCTGGTAGCAACATGCCAATGCAGCCTGGGTCATCTACCGTAGTTTGTGTGTGCAGCCAGAGACGAACCGTACTTGTACCCCTGCAAGTTTATAGCTGTTATGACGTATGTATATAATGTTTGGCTTTGCAGTTCTGCTCCTCTAAAGGTATGTGGCATTAACTTTCAGAGGCACTTAGATCGATTTAGCGGGGGGAAAAGAACTGATATGCTTGCAACAGGAAGGGGGTAACCATGTCACCTTGATGGCCCTTCGACTTGCTCCGCAACCTCTGACAATGGAGGAAGGCTCTTGATTTCTAGTAGGACTTCTCCGTGCACCTGAAGTCTTTAATGAACCCATCCTTCGGACCTGCTGCACGCCGTATCTCCTGAAGATCAATGGGAATGCAAATGAATGGGCCATTCTGAAAATGCTGTGCGAGTGGACGCATTATCTACCTACTTTACCGGCTCTAATTCCCTTCTTAGGAGATTTTTTCCCAATACTGGCTAGGTGAGTGGGTAATAAAGTGCTTTTTGCCTTTTATAAGCTGTCTAACCTGAACACTGGATTGCCAAGGCAGAAACATAAAAATTAACATATTTTGGTTTTCAAATGGTGCTGGATGCTTGCAAGGCCCTTTCACGGGGGACTTCCTACTCCTGCTTCCATCCCTCTCACCT